GTCCCCCCCTCCCCCGTTTTCGATGGATTGAGCGGTTTTTTTGAGCTGACAGCGGGCTCCCCCCCCCCCCAACAAAAAAAAAAGTTTGGCAAAGTGTCTTTGCGTTCAAGACGAGGCTGGAAAGGGGGGGCGGCTCGCCTCGTCCCCCTCGGCCTGGATTACAATGCCAGGGTGCCAGGAGGCGACCGGAGAGAGGGGGCTGCCCGGATCTTCGGGGCACGAGTACTGAAGACGCCCCTGGCCGCTTACCACCGCCCACCCCAAGCCACCATGAATGCCCCCTGCAACGCCCTTCAGCTTCTCCTGGCAACAACCTTGCAGATCCTGTATTGCGCCGCCACGGTAGGTGGGCACCGAGCGCGAGGTGGGTGGGGAGTTGGCACCGAGGGACGCCCCGGGCAGCATTGCTGGGCGGGGTGGGGGCGTAAGGGAGCAAGAACGAGGAGCTGGCCGCGCCGGGGGGGGGGGACACCGGGAACGAGGTGCAGGCAGCTGGCACCGGGAGGTCTCGGAGGTGCGGGCATTGGTGCGGTGGCAAGGAGCCGCAGAGGGCACAGCTGGCAGCCAACGGAGTGTGGCAGGAAGAGAAGAGGGTATCGTGGAGTGGAGGGGGGCGAGCTGAGGAAGGACTGATGGGGCTGCAGGCGAGGGGGTGTGGTTCCTTCCTCCGGGGGAGGGTCCCTGGCCCGACGTGGTGTGCCCACCAGTCGGTGCCCCTCTGGGAGGGGAACTCAGCTGGCGCGGGGGGTAGGGAGTTGCGTCCTCCAGTGGGAATTATTCACTGATCCAACTTCCTGCAGCTCCGATTTATTGCCACCGGGCACTGCCCTCTGCCCTCCACTGCCTGGGAGTTGCCCCAGACTAACCAGCTCCCCCCAGACCAACGTTCCTTAAAGACCCGGTAGGATTTAAGGGGCAACCTGGAAAAGACCACTTGCCTCGTCCCCTCTAAATCCTCTTTAGCCACGCCTCTTTTTGTACCCAGGGTCAGCAGGGCTCTAGACAGTGCCCAGGAGTGCTTGTACATCTCTCCCACCCCCTTTCCCATTTGAGAGGCCATCTGAAGGTCTAACAAGGGACCCCAAAAGGTGGCCATTGCCCTAGAGGCATTGAATCTGGAGGGCAAAAGGAACTACTAGAAACGCTGTCTGCACATGTTTAGAGGCAATGCTCCCTCTAAACTGTGGAGTCTTGTGAGCAAAAATTCTACTTTGTGAGCTACCGGCATGAAAGTTGTGAGTGACTGATTTAGCTACTGCATAAATTGGTTTGCTCTGGAGCCATCCTTCCTGAGCAAAGACAAAAATGTGTGAGCCAGAGGCTAAAAAACTGTGAGCTAGCTCACACTAACTCAGCTTAGAAGGAACACTGCCAGAGGTCTTTTACTTCCCGTATTCCAGGTTTCAGCCCTGGAACCGCATTCCAGGGTTGAACCCTTGGCAAAAAAAGAGAGGAAATCTTGCCAGCCTTTTATCCCCAATGGCTGAAAAGGTTGAATCTTTCATCTCGTCCCCAGGTTTTAATCCAATTTGCTATGCTTGTTCTTCTCTTCTCCCTTGAAACGGTCCCAGCACTTTCCGTCTTTGCTTGTTCTTCCGAATACCTCTCCAGCTTTGCCTTAAATAGTTGCTAAAGACGTTTCAGGTTTAGCTGCTGGAAAATAAGTGCGGATCCAGCCTTTGAGAGAAGGTGGGGTTACGATATTACCCTGATATAGTTGCTTAAAGCACTCCCCGTACAATTGGGAATCTTGACAACAGCCCTATAAGGTAGGACAGCACAGTGTTGCAGACAGGAGGCTGGAGATCAGAGTGACAGGCATAGCAGAGATTTGAACCAGGGTCTTCCGAGGTCATAGCTGGGTCGCAGCCACCGGGTTACAGTTGTCCTTTGCACCGATCCCTGCAGTTAGCACTGCCCAGAGGGGCTTGCCATCACACGTTCCTTGCACAAGGACAGGAGGTCGCTGCCACGTGGCTTCTGACAAGCCCGTGTCCCTTCCCTGCCCCCTCTCTCCCAGCATGTCCTATAATGCACAGGAGCCCATGGATGTGCAGCGATGAACCAGTCCACGCTGAGCACATCCCCTGATGCAACACCAAAGACAAAAGTTGCCGTCACACATCTCCCCCCCACACACACACACACACCAGCGGGCTCACTTTCGGGAAAGGCCGTTCACCTGTGGGTCACCCAGCTGCGCTTTCCTGGCTCATGAAACACGCACCAGCGAGTCATCGCTGCGACATGTCTTGGAGAACTTCCACGCGCTCCAAGAATCCAGATGCTTTCTTCCCTATTGTCCTGACAGCCTGGGTTTCCTCTGCCCCCATGTGGGATCTCTCAGTGGTAGAGTGTGTGTGTGGGGGGAGAGGAGTGCCCTCTGCACGGGAAACATGAGCAGCTTGTGGAATGCGTTACCACAAGACGTGGTGGCAGCCGCAGAGCTTGACGCCTTTGAGGAGAGGCTCCTACGGATCCCGAGGGAAAAGCGAGCGCCATGCAGAGGCGAACAAACCAGGGTGGGTGGGAACGGAGGAACGGACGCTGGTTTCATGTTTTTGTTTATGAACTTCCAGAGGCATCTGGCTAGAAACAGGACACGGGGACTGGACGGTCTGGTCCAGCAGAGCTCTTTATGCCCTTATCATGAAAATCTGAGCAATTCGAAGAGGAGGGGGGGTGATTCAAAGGGATGGAGATTTGGGGGAGAGATGTCTGTTTGGATCGTCCAGGCTTTTCCCCTTGGCAAGATGTCCTCTCTTTATCCTAATCCCCTGAGCAGCGAGTCTGTCTTAATTCCACGGGGTGCAGAAAACTGGGTTGGAGACAGAGCCAGCTCCTTGAACATCTCTGCTTTTTTAAAAGAGAACAAGTTGCTAGTCCTTAGGTTTGCTAATTTGTCTGCATACAGACATGTGGCCCATGTCTGCTTAAGAAGCCGGGCTGGTTTATTTGTTAGACGTTAATTCGGCCTTCTCCAAGAAATTCCAGTGGTATAATTCCTCTCCACCCCCCTTAGCCCAGGCTACTGTGACCTTGTCAGATCTTAGAAACTAAACAAGGTCAGTCCTAATGACTACTTGGATGGGATGGAAGACCACCAAGGAAGTCCAGGGTTACGACACAGAGGCAGGCAATGGCAATCCACCACTGAATGTCTCTTGCCTTGAAAATCCGATGGGGTGGCCATAAGACAGCTGCGACTTGATGGGGGGGGGATTCCTTTTAACAACATTTTTGACATGATGACTGGCCCAATGTTGCCTAGTGATCTTCACAGAAATTTGGACCCATGTCTCCCCAGACCAAAGCACTGACCAAGAAACCACTCTGGCTGGAGTGACTGAGACTCCCCGTGGTCAGGAAGGAAAGTCTCAAAGTGCTTCCCTTCCTCCCCTAGCAGAAGCAAACATATATCATGCAAAACGTATCATGCAAAATTCAGAGTAAATTATATAAAGTCAGATACACCATGCAAATGAGTTCAGTTTTACATCATTTGTTTGTGTCCGTGTAAAGTGCCGTCAAGGGGCTGCGGTGGCTCAAGTGGTTAAGACGCTGAACTGCAGACCGGAAGGTTGGTCGTTCAGCAGTTCGAGACCCAAATGCTGCAAGAAGGAGTGAGTTCCCATCTCTGGTCCCAGTTCCTGCTAACCTAGCAGTTTGAAAGCAAGAAATTGCAAGTACATAAAAAGGTACCGCTTCGGTGGGAAGGTAACAGTGTTCCGTGCGCCTTGGCCACATGACCACGGAAACGTCTTTGGACAGCGCTAGCTCTTCGGCTTGGAAACAGAGATGAGCACCGCATCCCTAGAGTCGGATTCGACTGGCTTTCGAGCAAGGGAAACCTTTACCAGTTTGGTGTAGTGGTTAAGTGCGCGGACTCTAATCTGGGAGAACCGAGTTTGATTCCCCACTCCTCTACTTGCACCTGGCTGGATGACCTTGGGCAAGCTGTAGTTCTGATAAGAGCTGTTCTTGAAAAAGAGCCGTTTCTGTCAAGAGCTCTCTCAGCCCCACCTACCTCACAGGGTGTCTGTTGTGGGGAGGAGAAGGGAAAGGAGTTTGTAAGCCGCTCTGAGACACCTTTGGGTAGTGAAGGGCGGGGGGTATAAATCCAATCTCCTCCTCCTCCTCTTCTTCTCCTACCTTTACTAAAGTGCCGTCAAATCACAGCCGACTTATGGCAACTCCGTACGGTTTTCAAGGCAAGGGACATTCAGAGGTGGTTTGCCATGGCCTGCTTCTGCATAGCTACCCTGGGCTGCCGTGAGGGGGGGGTCTCCCCTCCAAATACAAACCAGGGCTGGCCCTGCTTAGCTTCCGAGATCTGATGAGACCAGGCCAGCCCGCGCCATCCAGGTCAGGGTACATCGTTTATACATTTGGTTTAATTGGGTCCAAAATGGGGGGTCTTTTCTTCTTCTAACCCTTACCCAACTATGCACAGTCCATGAAGGCAGCAGGAAAAGACCCGACGCCAGATGGAATTCAGCCAAAGGAGCCAGGGGGCCGCCCTGAGCAAGGCTGTTAACGGCAGGACGTTTTGGAGGTTGTCAATTCATAGGGCCGCCGTAAGTCAGCACAGACTTGACGGCGCGTCACGGATGGACACACGCTCTGCTTGTTACGTGTGGGTTCACAAACGTACCCTGCTGGTGATTGTGGGTTCCACAGCTCTCACAAATGTACTCCACCCACCCACACCCCTTTGCTCAGTCTTCCCAACTGAGGCCTCACATCCACCTACCTCGCACAAGGATTTTTCACCTCCCGCACACCCCAACTCACAAGTACACATCACCCTGCTGCCACTGTAAGATTGCCGCAACCGCTTGTGTGCCCCAGCTGTGTCTGCCTGTACCGGTCATGGGGCAGGGGAGATAGAAGGATGGATTGTTGGGTTTTTTTGGCTGGCCCTGAGAAGGAAGAGCAGAGAAAGCTCCAAACTGGACTTTACATAGAAGGTGCGGATTTAGCCCTCTTGTTTCTGACCCGATTCCATTTCTGATCTGTTCGCAGGTGATGCGTCCTGAGGCTGACGCGACCCACCCATCCGGGGAAGGTAAGAACCGGGTGAGGGCTGTGGTCATCGCCAGGGGTACAAAATGCGGGCAAACTGTCCCAGAACTCCCCACAACTAGGTTGCCAACCTATTGGTTTCTATCCCCTAAGGACAGTGGGCGAACTAGTACCAGTCCCACCTTTGACCTCCGGGGCAGCGGCTCACAGAGTCCAAAATGAAACCTCTTTGCTTATCGGGTAAACTGGCATTCGTGGTCATTAATGCATTTGTCTTCGTTAAGTACGACATATGAAACTAGGTAAGGCCTTTATGATGTTGACATTCCGTGCACACGTGAACGTACAAAGCTGCCTGGTACCGAGTAAGATGATCAAGGTCTCCAGTGGATTGGCATTCGTGGTTATTAATGAATTTGTCATTTTGAAACAGTGATGGGAAGTGGCATCAAGTCACAGTTGACTTATGGCGACGCTCTAGGGCAGGGGTGGCCAAACGTGCTTAACGTAAGAACCACACAGAATAAACATCAGATATTTGGGTGCCACAAGACATGAACAGATATTACACATGTGTTTTTATTGGAAGATATGCAAATTTGCTTTTTATTAACATTTAATGAGACTGTCAGAAATAAAAACAAATATTGATAGTATTTATTTGTCCAATGATATTTATTTGTTTGCTGATGATATTTATTTGAGAGAGCGAGAGAGGTGGAAAGAATGAAAGAGGTGGAAAGGGAATAAGAGAAAGAGAGAGAAACAAAGAAAGCAAATAGATGGGGAAGGGAGGGAGGAGGAAGAAAGGAAGGAAGGGAGAGAGAGGAAGGAAGGGAGAAAGAGAGAACAAAAGAAAGAAAGGTGGAAAACAAATAGATGAGGGAGGGGAAGGAAGGGAGAGAAAGAGAGGGAAAGGAAGGAAGGAAGGAAGGAAGGAAGGAAGGAAGGAAGGAAGGAAGGAAGAAAGAAAGAAAGAAAGAAAGAAAGAAAGAAAGGAAGGTAGAAAGGTAGAAAGGTAGAAAGAAAGAAAGAGGTGGAAAGAAAGCAAATAGATGGGGGGGAAGGGAGAGGTGGAAAGAAAGCAACTTTAACAAACAACCCTCCCCCCATAACCACTCGTGCCGGCTTGGCAAAGGGATTCAAAGAGACAAATGCCTTCTCCAAGCTAGCTGCCAGGGGGTGGGGGGGCTTTTTTTTTAAACCCCCAAAGGGATATTTTTATTATTTTTTCATAAGACTATATAACTACAAAGAAATATAGGGAGGGGGACTACAAGTATGGATAAAGAAAAGAAACCCACACTAACTAAAAACCCAAGAGAAGGAGATCATATCCGTGTTAAGCTAAATGATAGTAATTAAAGTGCTAGTAAAACAATATACTTGTAAAGTTCTTGTTTTTCACAGCTTCTGCGGTTGGGGGGGGCTTCTGATAACACATTTAAAGTTAAGGTTGCTTTCTTTCTCTGCTCTCCCCCACCTCAAGCCTACCCAGGGAGGGGAACACTGGATGGGGAAGGGGAGACTGACCGGGGAGGCATGCCTCCCTTTCGCTTCCCCAGCGAGTCTGCTGGGAGCCGCACAATATGTGTGGAAGAGCCTCACGTGGCTCCCGGGCCACAGTTTGGCCACCCCTGCTCTAGGGTTTTCAAGGCAAGAGATGGACAGAGGTGCTTTGCCATCGCCTGCCTCTGCGTAGCGACCCTGGGCTTCCTTGGTGGTCTCCCATCCATGATCTGATGAGATCGGGCCGGCCTGGGCCAGCCCACTACATCCTAAACCGTGTAATGCATTTGTGATGTTGACGGTGCATACGAAGCTGTCTTGTACTGAGTCAGATTGTCAAGGTCTGTGTGTCTGCCTTTTTGGCCTACCCAGGTCAGCATTGTCCACTCTAACTGATAAGTGGCTCTTCAGGGGTCTCAAGGTCAAGGTCTTTCATGTCACCTGCAACCTGGTCCTGCTCAGTGGTGCTTAAATACTGACACTGTGGGGCAATGTTCCCTCTAAGTTGAGTTAGTGTGAGCTAGCTCACAGTTTTTCAGCCTCCAGCTCACAGATTTTTGTCTTCACTCAGGAAGGATGACTCCAGGGCCAACTAATTTATGCAGTAGCCAAATCTCTCACTCACAGATTTCATGCCAGTAGCTCACAGAGTAGAATTTTTGCTCACAAGACCCCACAGTTTAGAGGGAACATTGCTGTGGGGTGTTGGGGCGGGGCGAAGGACTCAGAGACTCTGACGTGCACCCCACCACCATCCATGCTATGGAACATTCCACATGTCCCTGTCTGTTCCTGCAGCTCCTTCTGATTCCCAGAAAGATTATTTCCAGGGTCACACAACCTGTGCAGAGGAATAGCCAGGCCCAGCAGTGGGCTGGAGTCAGAAGAGACTAGAGGATGAAATCAACCCCGTTTCCGGACCGGACCGGAGCTTCCTGACAGAGCAATTTCACACTCTTTTCCTTCTTCCTTCCAACTCTTCTGCATGCAGGTCCTGTAACCCTGGGAATGAGCGTTCTACACGTTGAAAGGGGCTGCAGGGGAAAACTCAAGAGTGGTAGCGGTAGGGTACTGGCTGGTGTCTTACTATGGGCTACCTCACTGCAGCCTTGTTCATCACAAGGAGGTTGGGGAGCTGACACTTGATAGAAAGATCATCCCAACATGTGTCGGTCCCCCGAGACAGAATGGTATCCTGCCGCTCACGCCTCCAATTCCCATGTTCCTCCATGATCACAGAGTTGGAAGGGACCTCCAGGGTCATCTAGTCCAACCCCGTGCACAATGCAGGAAATTCACAAATACCTCCGCCCCCCCCCCACACCCCAGTGACCCCTGCTCCATGCCCAGAAAATGACAAAAAACCTCCAGGATCACTGGGGGCCAAACTGGCCTGGAGAAAAATTGCTTCCTGGCCCCAAAGTGGCGATCAGCATTTCCTTGGGTGTGTAAGGAAGGGTCACAAGCATGGAGCACTGAGGCAACCCTTCCTGCCCTCCTGCTCGTGATCTGCTTAAGTTCACAGAATGATGAGGGTTTCCAACTCCGAGCTGGGAAGTTTGTGTAGATTTTTTGGGGGGGAGCCTGGGGGGGCAGAGTTTGGGGAGTGGAGGGACCTCAGCAGGATATGGGGCCACAGAGTCCACCCCCAACCAATGTTCCCTCTAAGCTGTGGAGTCTTGTGTGCAAACATTCTACTTTGTGAGCAACCGGCATTAAAGCTGTGAGCCAGCGATTTGGCTACTGCATAAATTAGTTTGCTCTGGAGCCCGTCCCTTCCTGAGCTAGGACAAAAATCTGTGAGCTGGAGGCTAAAAAAACTGTGAGCTAGCGCACACTAGCTCAGCTTAGAGGGAACACTGCCCCCAACCCCCAAGCAGCTATTTTCTGCAGGGGAACCGATCTCTGTATTCTGGAGACCGGTTGGAATTCCAAGAGATCTCCAAGCCCAGCCTGGAATTTGGCAGCCCTGTCCATGGTTCTGCAGCCACTTCCAGTCCCTGGAAAGATCATTTCCCCAGGATCAAGTCGTATAGAGGAACAGGATGGGGGGGGGGATTGAGTGAGGAGGACAAGGACCACTCCTCCGTTCTCCTTCCGCAAGTGCAGCTCTGCCAAGGAAAGGGGTCAGTTTCGTCCTCTTGTCTCGCTGCACTCCAAGCCACCCTACCTCATGACCCTGCCGACCCTAGCCTGGAGATCTTCCAGAATGACAACTGATCTCCAGATTACAGTTCCCCTGGAGAAAGCGGCTGCTTTGGAGGGTGGACTCTTTGGCTTTATACCCTGCTGAGGTCCCTCCCCTCCCCAAACCCAGGCTCCACCCCCATATTGTCCAGGGATTTCCTAACCTAGAAATGGAAAGCCTGTCCTCTGTACAGATCCTGCATCCCCACGAATCATCATTCTGGGAGGTTGGAAAGAGATGCAGGAAAGATGATGAGATGATGATGAGATGAGATTGGATTTATACCCCGCCCTTCACTTGGAGTCTCAGAGCGGCTTACAAACTCCTTTCCCTTCCCCTCCCCACAACAGACACCCCGTGAGGTGGGTGGGGCTGAGAGAGCTCTGACACAAACTGCTCTTTTTCAAGGACAGCTGTGCCAGAACTATGGCTTGCCCAAGGTCATCCAGCAGGTGCAAGTGGAGGAGTGGGGAATCAAACCCGGTTCTCCCAGATTAGAGTCCGCACACTTAACCACTACACCAAAGGAGAGGAACAGGCTAAAAATCCATGCGGCTTCTGCGTGGAGATAGTAGGATGCTGCTCAGCGTGTGATACAGCACCCTCAGTGGTATCGTGCATGGCAATGTGAGTAAAATAAACATGGCTCTGCCCCAAGGAGCTTACAGTAGAAAATTGGACAGTAGAGAGGAAATGGAAAGACAGGAGCGGTGAGAGAGGAAAGTCCCTTGGGCCCCAGGGAGAGGGTGAGAAATGAATAATTCTGGCGGAAGAATGAAATAAGCTGCATTGTGATATCAGACAAAAAAACCTGTTTATCCAAAGGACTATGCCACTAGAGTTGTTAACCTCCAGGTGGGGCCTGGAAATATATTACAATGATTTCCAGACTACATAGGTCACTCTCCCTGGAGAAAATAGCTACTTTGGATGGTAGACTTTATGGCATCGTATAAGAACATAAGAGACGCCAATGTTGGATGAGGCCAAAGGCCCATCCAGTCCAACACTCTGTGTCACACAGTGGCCAGAAATACCAGTGCCATCAGGAGGTCCACCAGTGGGGCCAGGACATTAGAAGCCCTCCCACTGTTGCCCCCCCCCCAAGCACCAAGAAGACAGAGCATCACTTGCCCCAGAGCCCCTACCTATACCTTGTGGCTAATAGCCACTGATGGACCTCTGCTCCATATGCTTATCTAATTCCCTTTTGAAGCCGTCCATTCTTGTAGCCGCCACCACTTCCTGTGGCAGTGAATTCCATGTGTTAATCACTCTTTGGGTGAAGAAGTACTTCCTTTTATCCGTTCTAACCCGACCGCTCAGCAATTTCATGGAGTATCCTG